CACAGAGTGTGTAGTTCCCCTACTATCTGAACTTTCACAAACTGCAGAGAGGTACTAAGATAAATCGGACAGGGAATATAAGTTCCAACAAAGTAGTTCCCAAGGTGTTAGCCAAGGTTTTGGCCTCCCCGACTTTGCCCATCTGTGAACCAGGTGTTGGAGCCCCTGCCGAGCAGCTGCCGCCTTGATACAGACCCTGCCAAGCAGCTGCCGCCTTGATACAGATGTGCGACCTAAAGGCGTATCCTCGAGACCACACACACAGAGGGCTATACAGCTGATTGTTTGCTCCACCAGTTCAGTACCAGAACTGGGTGAGGGTTTTTTCTAGAAATGACAGAAAGTAGGCCTACAAAATAACCAGAGACAGGATATGTGCACACTGCCTTCCCTAGAGAGCTGCTCAGTCCTTCAAACTGTAAGCCTATATAAAGTCTACGGGGTGATGGACATGGACCTGGCCTGAAATATCCCGACAGTGGCCAAGGAAGGCCTGGGATAGAGTTAAGGATGTGGATCTTTTAAGTGAAGAGGTAAGTGAGATGCTTAACTGCGAATAAAAGTAGAGTAGTGTCAAACTAGAATACACTTTTCATCTAAATAAGTGGTTTCTAGCTTTTTTGGTGATGGGATCCTTTTATTTATTTTTAATTATTTTACTTATTGAGTGTATTTTTGTTGCACTAGGAATCAAATGTAGGGCCTGTGCACTGGGGTATATCCCCAGTCCTTTTTCTTTCTTTTTAAAATTAAAAAAGAAATTTTTTTTTAAAAATTATTTTGAGAGTCTCCCTAAGTTGCTATATTTCCCAGGCTGGGCTGGAACTTGCAATCCACCTGCCTTGGCCTCTCAGACTCCTGGGATTTCAGGCATGCACCAACATGCTAGGCCCCTTTCTATCCTCTATGATTGGCTATCCCAAAGAACTTTTGCAGGCAGGCATGGTGGTACTCACCTGTGATTCAAGAGTCTGGGAGACTGAAGCAAGAGGATCAAAATTTAGTTTGGATTGGGCAACTTAGCAAAACTGTCTCAAAATAAAGGCTCAGTGCAAAAGCTATGGGTTCAATCCCCAATACTTTAAAACAGACAAAGCATTTTTATATGATTGTATCTGCCAGTAATTTATTTATTTTTTTAATCAGGATCGAACTCATGACCTAGCACTTGCCTAGTGCTTGCCAGGCAGGTGCTTATGCTGCTAAGCTAAACCCCCAGCCCTGCAGGTAATTATTGCATAGAAAGTAAAACGTATTTTAAAACAATGTTAATTCACTTAACAGCAATAAATCTATCATGTTAACATACTTTTACAAAAATAACTAGAGTTTCCAAAATAAAAATAAAAGTCTCCAAAACAAAGAAGAGGGATATTGTTTCCTGTTTTGCAAATCTCTTTAATGCTCAGCTTTACAGCAGGCAGATGGGTCCTCACATCCTCCGCATTTGGTGGGTTGCTACCTTGTGTTGTGTGGCTTCTAGAAACTCCAACATGCATTCAAGAGTGGAAAAGGTAACTATCATTTTAGCATTACGGGGGAAGTAGTTTGATCTCATGGACACCCTGAAAGGACTTCCAAGGGTCTCTGTTTTATACTTCAGACCTGCCATCCGTATCCCATTAAAGTAAACATTTTATGTTTACTTGTATTATCAGCAATGTATGCAGCTTGCCTTCTGTTATGGACTCATGTTTTTGTTCTCCCCAAAATTCAGACACTGAGATCCTAAGCCCTAGTGTGAAATTAGGAGATAGGGCTTCTGGGACCCTGAGCAGGAAGGTGGAGCCTTCGTGAACAGGATCAATGTCCTTATAAAAGAACTCTCTGGGGCTCTTTCTGACACATGAGCGTACAATAAGTTAGTCTGCAACCCCAGATTGGGCCCTCACCATCCTTTGGCCGTGGTAGTACTCTGCTCCCTGACTTCCAGCCTCCAGAACTGAGTTTTGTATCAGTTTTCTGTTGTTTATAAGCCGCCCAGCCTATGGTACCTTATCTCACACAAAGGAACTCAGACACCTCTCAGTCTGTGTGGAACACTGAGAATTTCAAGATGGCCCTATTTCCTGTTTCCCAGCGTACATTTCTCCTGCTCCCTGGACTACGAAGGAATAGTTATGTTCATGATTAGGTATAGCTAGGACTCAGTAGACTTTAAGAATGGGAGATCATTGTGGTTGGACCTGACCTTGCTATGGCAAGCAGAAATACCAAAATTACACCCAGGATTTGGAGGACATTTATTTAATGTCAGACAAGCACTGACTGAGATCATTCCCAAATTATCTCAGCTGCCGATCTCTGGTAGTTGAGGGCTTATTTGGGGTAAGCAAACAGGAAGTACAAAGGCAGAATAGCTTGTCAAGTAGGGAACTGGTTCTTACAATATGCAGCATAATGACCAGCCGTTTCTAAGACACAGAAATAACAGGAACTGTAATCAGCACTACTACCTACCTGGGTATACTGGCTGGGAGACATTTTCTGTTATAACCTAACTAGCCTAACTAGGAGTCCCATTGGAAGGCACCACCCTCCTTCAGGAAGACAGAAGGATGCAGCACAGGAAGATTCCTGATGCCGGCTCTGAAGATGGAGGTGGCCCCACGGTATGGCTTGCAGGCAGCTTTCAGGAACCGTGATTGCTTTGGTCTGTCACAAGGAAATGGGGCCTCAGTCCTACGACCACAAGGAATTTGGTCAACAACCAAATGAATTTGCTAGTGGTTCTTCCTCAGTGGAAGGAATTCAGCCTGATTCAGCTGTGCTGAGGTGGAACTCTGGACTTACAGACCTGTGAGATGATAAACAGTGTTGTTTTAAGCCACTTTGTTACAACATCATGCATATTGTTTTAATTTTATACTTTGATTTTACAAATAATTATACATAACCATGCCTGTGAAAAATGGAAACTATCAAGAAGCCGTGCTTTTTCTAACCCCTTTTCCCCATCCCCGTCAATCCTGGGCCCTTCCCTGCTCCTGTCTATGGGTAGGCACTCTGCTGGGTAGGAATCCTTCCAGACCTTTTATTCTATGCATTTTTGTGCATGTAGTTTCCCTTATTTTAACTTTAGAAATGCATTGCAATGAACATGATAGCTGATCAGGTCTCCTAAAAACCAGGCAACAGTGATCTGTAGTACTGTTCTAGAGCAGGTTCATTATCACCCATGGAGGCATGCTGACCCACTCCAATGCTCTTCTTAGATCTCAATTTAACCTGGTTGGACGGTGGTTTAGAATGGTGAAGATTTCCACCAGCTGAGATGCATTTACAGTCAGGGCCAACCTCCCTCTCTTGCTTTAACCTCAGTTTAGAGAAAAGATAGACCTGTTTGGTTATAAGCTCAATTATTATGTCCCAAAGTGACCTTTAATGGCCACTTTGCTCCTGCCTCATTTACTCCTAGAAAAACAAAAGTAGCTATGTCTTTAACAGGAACTTCAAATCATCTCACAGACTTTGTAATTCATGCTTGAGTTGACAGCAATGAACATGTGTGACCCTTCCAGAAACAAACCTGTGGCATATACCCACACTATCTCCAGAGCCAGGACAGAGCTCCTTACCAGTGCCTCATGGGTACCAGCATGTGCGGGGAGGTAGGTACTTTGGTTAAAAAAGTAGCTCTCTAAATTTAGCCAGAATAAGCTTCTCCAAAGAGGTTTTAATGACAAACTCTCAGAAATAAGGTCCTTTGCCAAGCAAGCATGTCCTCCAGACTCACAGGGCAGTGGGCCACAAGCTTCTGTGTAGAAAATGCATATGTTGTGCGTTTCCATAGTGAAGGGATTATTGGCAGTGACCAGTGCCTATCGTACATCCCCATCTGCGTCTAGATGTCCCCCCAGAACCTCATGCAGTCGTAGGTGGGGCTTTTTCACAGGTGGCTGGATCCAAAGTGTTTGACACTGGGACTGAGTTACGATGCAAGGCTAGGATCCAGGGCACTAGGATTAAGGGTGTGTGTGACAGCGACCCATTCTAAGTAACCTGGCTAAGATAAAAGGGGCAGAAAGCTGTGGTCATCTCTTGCTATCTTGCTGCTTTCTGTCCACCGTGAACTATCTGCCATGTGCTACCCTGCCTTGAAGTCAGCTGCTTGTGGACTGAAACCTCTATACACTGTGAGCTAATTAAGCCTTTCCTCCCTTAACTTGTGGGTGTTGGGTATTTTGTCTCAGCGATGAAAAAAATAAGTCAGACACCACCCGACCTTGAGCTCGCTGACATTTCAGAATAATAGACAGGCCCTTTCATTGCTTGGCCTTTTGTGATGCAGACTCTGCCAGACAAACTCTGCCTGTTAGCCGAAGGTGAAGGAAGCCCTGTCCCCCACCCAGCTCATAGATCCCCGACCACAGTGCGCCCATTCATAGGCAGTACTTGCCACCTCCTTGAAAAGGCCATGCCCACCCACCTGACTCCCAGCGCATGCTTCCCGCCTATCCAGCTAGGGCTACCCCACACCTGTGAGAGCTGAGCTTGGGAGTGGAGTCCTGCACGGGGCGCCCCTGTCCTGGCACGTAACGCCGTGCAAGCAGCTCCAGCGGACTGTCCTTTCCTGTTCATGTGAGCAGACAGTCCAGTATCCTTTTCTGGAAAGTCTTCAAGTAGATGCAATTCCCAAAGTTTACCAAAGGGACAAACATCTTTGGGTACAGAGGTTTCCCTGGTGCCCGTCTAGTCCAGAGTCGCCGAGTTTGGCTTCTAAAGGTGACTCCAGGATATGGGCAAACCCCCAACTTCACCACCCGCCTCCGCCACAGGAGAGGAAGCGCGCTACCCCAACCGCGTCCGGAGGTTTGCGACTCTGGGCCTCCTCGGTACAGCTGAGTGGCCTCAGGTCCCCAGCGATTTTGAGGGAGTCGGGCTTTTTGTGACGAGCCTGAGCAACTGGGGCTGGCCGGGAACGGAGGGCGGGACGGGCTGGGGGCGGAGCGGGCAGCGCTGCGCTGAGCGCCGCGGCAGAAAGGGGGCGGCCGCGCCCATTTCCTCCGCTCCGCGCCGCCTCGGCCCGAGCGATCCGCAGCGGGAGCTGCGCCCCCGACCCTGCCGCGCCGGCCGTGACCCCGCCGGGCGCTCCGAGCCCGCCGCGCCGTGGGCGGGTCTGTCCCGGCTGCCCGCATGGACGCGGCGCTGAAGCGCAGCCGCTCGGAGGAGCCGGCCGAGCCCCTGCCGCCGGCCCGGGACCTGGATGGGGAGGAGGAGGAAGAGGAGGAAGAGAGGATGGAGCAGGGGCTGGAAGAGGAAGAAGAGGTGGACCCCCGCATCCAGGTAGGGCGCGCAGGGGGCGTCCAGGTCCCGGCTCCGCGAGGGCTGCCGCGGAGCTCGGATCTACGCGTAACTGGGCTTCGCAGTGTCCGCGGTCTGCGGGTGGGAGCCACGTCTGTCCTGGAACGAGAAGAAGGGGTCTGCACACCCCACTCCACGCCCCGCCCCACGGGGAGGCTGCGGTGCCCGCGTGGACACGGCGTGACTGGACCGCGCGGGTCCCCCGCAGACCCGCGGGACTGGGGGTCGCTGCTGCATGCCCAGCGGCTCGAGCTGGCGTGCAACAAAGAGAAAAGGGGGCGGGGGCCGGGCAGTGTCGGGGTGTCCCGGGGGCGGTGGGCGTCTTCATGCCCTGCAGCGCGGGCTGGCAGCAGGGCCGGGGGCTCCAGCGCGCACCTGGCGGAGGTGTCGGCCCGAGCCGCCTTGCTCCTCCGGCTCATTGTTAGCACGCGGAGGGCTTCATTGTCGCCGTGGGCTTCGGGTTCCGCACGGCCTGAAATGGTTTAAAATCCTGCATTTTTGTTTCTTGTGCGGTCGCATATGAACAGAAATCAGGGACAGCTGATGCGCAAAGCTGAGGCGTGGAGGCGGCCAGGGAACGGCCTGGCTTTCTGTGCCTCCATTTCCAAGACAGATGATTAAAAAACAATTTCCAGACCGAGCTCCGGGTGTGACAGCTTAACCTCTTCACCCCTTTATATAAAGAACGCAGCAAATTCCTTTCTAAGATCCATTTTTCTACTCCTTCCATAAATCATTTTTTAAAAATAATGCTTTGACGTATTCCCTGCGATTTCTGGAACCCTAATTGGTTTTCAGTGCACAGATCAATTAAAAGCACACTTAACTGCTGGTTGAGGTTTAAATGAATTGTTTTGGCAGATTAGCAACATGAAGATCAGGTGGGAAAATATTTGCATTAGAAATTATTCTGTTAATTAAAATCATTAGTTTGGACTATGAAATCTTATGCTCTTGGTCTGGAATCCTGCTAACAAGGTCCTTTGTTTGCAGAGTAAAGATGAGTTAACTTCATGTTGGGTCTTTCTTACAGAATGTCAGTTTCTAAATTAGGGGACTGGGTTTAAAACTAGCTTAAAAATTAAGGCAAGCCAGGTAATTTGAATAATTTGCAGTTGGAGAAAAAGATTTTCATCTCTTTATCGGAAAATATTCCATAACTGATGAATTATTACTAGAAATCTTTTTTAAATGATTTCACTGGCTTTATACCTTGGGCTTGGACTTGCTTATTTTGTTTTCTCTGTACACTTTTTGCTCCAAGGCAGATGGTAGTGTTTGATTTGGTCTCTGAAACTATTCATTTCAATTAAGTGTACCTGAAGGCACATATCTGGAATAGATATTTGACCTTCCAAGGAAGACAATTCCTTGAGAAACAGTGCAGGAAAAAGGAAGAAAAGGTGGGTTGGAGAGCATGTTATAAACAGATATTTAAGATATGTTGCCAATTTGCTCTTGCAACCAAGCTTCCCCTGTTTTTCTTGAGAGTTAGAACTCCTCCTGCAAATTGGGATGGATTGACTGTCTCGGTTACAGACTATGTTATACTGAAAACAAAAGTGATCCTTTAAATCTCCTTTCCCTTTTCTTCCTTAGGGTGAACTGGAGAAGTTAAATCAATCTACTGATGATATCAACAGACGGGAGACTGAACTTGAGGTACAGAGGGCCGGGTCCCTGTTCTTGGTGAAGTGACACACATCGGGCTGGTTAATTTTGTCCTAATAACTGGAGTGTTATTGCAGGAGCCTCTCCTTTGGAGTTGAGCAACAGCGCGCCTCTGATGGAATAGAATATACCATTGAGCCTAGCCTGTGGGCGGAACGCACAGAGATCCAATTTCACATGTTGTTTTTCCTTGTGGAAGCTCCCTGGGGCCAAACTGAGGGTTGTACACAATGCCTAAGCCCAAATTTTGGTGTATCTGTGCCCCACTGAAAGGGCTGAGGGGAAAATTAGCTGAACTCTTTAATGGAAAAGAATGAGCTCATGGACATGTTTAAATATTTTAGGGCAGCGCCTTCCATTCATACTCTGAATATTGGTGTTTTAGTTTCCTGTCCTAATAATTTCCACCCCCTTTCCACTTCCCTGCCCGCTTTCTTTATTGTCTGCTTTTGCTTGGAACATAATTATCTTAATGGTAACACCAAGATGTTTAGACTTGGAAAGAGCTTTCCTGCTGGGAAAAAGGTTGGGGTTGATGTGAATTTCAGGAGCATTTTCCAACCTGACTGTAAACAAGTCAGCATTCTTCACAGCTACCAATTAGTCTCCACCTCTTTTTAGTAGGGTTGGATTTATCATCCATCAGCAAATGTGAACAAACCCTGTTTACTCTGGGAAGGTGGGAATGGTTGTGAGGATGAGAAGTGGGAGAACTTGTTTCTGTGGCAGGAGGAGGGCAAGAAACAAGGGGAGGGTGGGAGGTAGGAAGTGGTCTGCTGGGAGCTGGCGGGTGGCTGTGGTCTCTGAGTGCATGTGTGGCCCTAAACATTTGGGATCAGTCCCCGGGCTAGTGGATCAAAAGGCTTGTTGCTCTGAACTGTGTGAAGGGTTAACCCCAACCTACATTCCCATATATCCTAGGAGCCCACGAACAGATTGTCCTCCTGTCTCCAAGAAAAGTAAAACTGTGTGTTTGTTTAATTTACTATATTTTCAGTTTTGATAATTTAAGCCTCGTATGTGTGTCTCTGTCTCTCTGTCTGTTTATGTTACTGAGGATTGAACTAAGAGCCTGTACACTGAGCTACCTCATCCACTTTTAAAAAAATATTTTTTTATTATGAGACAGGGACTTGCTAAGTTGCTGTATTGCCCAGTCTGGGTTCCAGTTTACAATCTTCCTGCCTCAGCCTCCTACAGGGATAGAGGCAAAAGTATGTACCACCACTCCTGATTTAAAGTAAGCTTCTGTAAAGCTGAGCAATTTAAACCTCTCAAAAGCTCCGATTTCTAACACTTGAAGCAACAAAACCCTAGTATTCCTCTATCACAAAAATATTTACAAAACAATTTGGTCCTTTTTTTCTTTTTAATACTGAGGATTGAACATATGGCCTTGGACATGCTAGGTAAGCACTGAATTAGTGAGCTATCTACCCAGCCCTCCAAAATACCTTTTACAAATCTTCTCTCTTTCCTTGCTGTCGTAGTCGTCCAGAGCTGTGCAGTCCAATAAGGTAACCATGTCAATACATAACATCTGAGTTAAAATTTTAAAAGTCTGCAAATTCAAGCACTGATGATTGAACCCAGGGTCTAGCATTGAGCTCCCCCTCAGCCCATCTTTTTACATTTTGAGACAAGGTCTTGATAAATTGCCCAAACTTGAAATCCTGCAGACATGTGTACTGCACTCAGGAGCTCAGTAACTACTGGACTGGGCAGAGTGGAGAAGGTCAGCACTGGGGCAGAAGGTTCTGTGGGCCTGGAGTAGCAGGAACTGCCCCTTTCCTGGGTGAAAAACTCAGAGCTGCGTCTCTGATCCCTGTCCCGGGCATTTTTCAGATCCCTTCCGCCCCATTCTCCTTTTCTACCATCCCAAATAGGAGCAGACAAGTTGGAAATGGTCTGAAAAAAAAAAAAAAAAAAAAAAAAAAAAACAAGTAATGCCTGCTGTGTGCTGGCTACTATTCTGGGGAAATGAACAAGATGGCTCCTCAGTGATCCTGACCTTTGGGGAATTAAACTGGTTCATTTAGTCAACTCTTATTAACCCATTTGTAAATACCCTGAGGTATTCATGTGTCACAGGAAGCCACCGGACAGGTGTTTCCTGTCTGGCTCTGCAGAGCATTTGGTGCTCCTTGTGGGGTGAGCTGGAAGCATGAGAAGGGTAGCTGGGACTGGCCTGTGTGCTGGCCGACCTCCTCGTGGTGTTATTCTAACCAAGATTGATTCAGAGAAATATAATACAAGCCATGAAGTAATTAAAGACACCATAGTAGACACATTAAATGTTTAAAAAGAAATAGCTGAAATTGATTGTAATAAATTTTATTTAACCCAGAATATCGGACATAGTATAATTTAGCATGGATTCTGTAGAAACAGTTATGAAGAAGAGGGCTAGGGGCATAGTCCCATGGCAAAGTGCTTGCCTAACATGATCCCCAACACCACCAAAAAAATAAAAAATAAGGGCCAGGAATTCAGCTCAGCAGCTTAAGTGCCTGCCTGGCAAGCACAAGGTCCTGAGTTTGAGTCCCAGAACCAAAAAATAAAAAAGGAAAAGATTCCACATGTTTTTGTAATGAATCGTCAAGGTTCATGCATATTTCATACTTAGAGCACATTTTCCATAGGACTCACATTGTGGGAGCCCAGTAGCCATATGTGGCCCTGAGCAGCCCGGGTCTAATGTGTCTCCAGTAAGCTCACCTTTGCTGGAGTCAGAGCAGAGGACCACATGTGTCTGGAGTGGTGGCCGTGACTCTTCAGTTATATACTGGCCACCAGCTTTGCGTCAGACACTGTGTTTACCACTGCATACACCTAAGTGAACCAGAGAGCCAGAGGCCTTGTCCTCAAGGAGTTTCCATTTAGTTGGGGCAGCAATGGAGAGGTGGATGGTAGCTACTTACTATAATGAGCAGAACCTGCAGGAGGGCAGCGTCCCTGTGAACAGAGTAGCGGGAGGAATGAACACCTGGCTGTGAGTAAAGGGAAAATGGGACAGGAAAACACGCCATTTTTGGGTACAACCCATGTATTTGCAGTACTGTATTTGCAGTAGTTGTGTTCTATGAAATTGCAACTACTGAATTCGTGAATGCTGAACTGTTGTGCTTGAAGAAATACAGAGTTTTTGCAAGCCTTTGATCATAACATTTTTATCAATCTGTAACCTCATTTTTTAATGTTTGTATGTAACCATACCTCTGTGTTACGTATTACTGACTCACATTGAAGTCATAGTCACTTACTACCTAACATAATTTCTCAGGTTCCATCACAGCCTCCACGTGCTCAGGAACAGTAGATGTGCCCCTCTATGGGCATGTTTAACAGCAAAAATCATCAAAACCCCCCAAAAGGCTGAAAAATGTGACTCTGAATAGACCATGAAAAGGAAACTTGTGTCCTAAATGAAATAGGGAAGCAGAACATGAGTTGGTGAACTGGTCTCATGACTGACTCAGAATTTTCACTGTTTGGAGTGAACTAGAAAGTGCCGTAGGTGTTTTGTCTGGGGTTATGTATAACTGTTACCAAGACGACAAATTCTCACATGTGGAATCTACAGATAGTGGGGGTTGACTATATTTTCAGGGCCCCTCTCTGCACTTTGCTGTCCTCACTTTCTTTCCCTTTGCCTTTTATTATGATCTGGGTGTTCAGCACCTCTCCTCTAAGAAAACCCCACTAGTGACCAGATTGTGGCAAATGCTAAGTTGTTCACAGAACAGGGCGTACCGTAGTTGTCTTTGTGGCCAATGGCCAGGAAGCTGCTCCTGGCTTTACCTTCAGCGTCCTATTCCTCGTCTTGGCTGTTTAAATTGGAGATGACAGGCCTCTGGGTTTGCCTCTGACCATATCTGAGGGCCCTTTTGCACTCTGGTTTCTGTCCAAGCCATCCTTGAGCTAGTGAAGGGAAGCACCTTTTAACCAGAGAGACCTTGCATATAAGCCTGATGTTTCAAATTAAGAAAATAAATGTACCTTCCGCAGGCATTGATTAGTTAGCTTTGATTTTTCTCCAAGTATTTACTGAGCATCTAATGTATGCCAGGGATGGTGTTAGGTGATAGGGAAACAATAGGCCACATACAGGGAAGAAACAATAGGGAAGAGAAAGGAATGAATTCCCTGCCCTTCTAAGGCTTAGACAGAGGGAGGAAACAATAAACGATTAATACATAGTAGGTTATATGGTCCTCTATGCTAAGGAGAAAAAGCCAGAGTAGGACTAGGTTGTAGGGATTTGTGTGCAGAGGGAGGAAAGGGGCAGAATGTTACATACTGTGGGTCTCAAACTGATGTCTGCAGAGAGCAACCTTGAGATCCTAAGTGGAAGGGCATTTGGGCCAGAAGGAAAAGTTGGTGTAAGGTGGGAGTGTGACCAGGGCCAGCAAGGGAGCCCCGATGTGTGAGTAGTGGCCAGAAGAGAAGAGAGAAAGTCAGAGATAAAAGGGCTGCTCGTGTGTGGGAACCCTGCCAGGTAAGATGATAATAAAGGCAGTGTGCTGATTAATTAAAAATGCACATTACGTAGAGCAGTCTTTTTTCAAATGTATGTTAAAACAGATGCCAGGCAGAGATGTCTTTCCAAATCTACTTAGAATCAAGACTTTCAGCATTTTACGCTGCTATTATATATTCTTTTTTTCATTAGTGCATGTTTGCATTTCACACAGTTTATGGTCATTTTGGAGAGTGGTTCCATGCACACTATTACAGCTTTTTTTGCCCTAACCCTCTTCCCCTCCCTCCCTCCTGTAATTCCCCTACCACGTTTTACATACTTGTTGATACTATTTGTCTAAGCTCATGTTATGGTATATACATTGATTGGAGTTACTAGGATCTTGTACCTAGCTTAGCTTGCTTGCTTGCTTTCTTTGAGACAGAGTCTTGCTGTGTAGTTCAGGCAGGGCTAGAACTTGCTACTTAGCCCAGGCTGGCCTTGAACACTTAGTGATCCTCCTGTCTCA